AAGGGCCAGAATGACCACAGCTTTTATTGATAGTGACACTACCAGGAAAGCAAGTAGGGGCTGTAACAGATTACATGGGAAGAATAGCTTATTCAGGCATGGTAGCAAAAGAGGAACAAAGCACTCTTATGCCAACCACAGAGGCTCTAGAATTAGCTAGTAGTTTAACAGGTACCTTACTGTTTCGAGAACCAGCATTTTTATTACTGGGAAGGTATTTTTCAATTTGAGTCTCATGGCCTCACCAGATATGTTATCATGTCTTAGCTCTGGGATTTCACAGGCTCCTGCTTGAACCTCCATTCTACCGATAGGGATGAAATTCTGGTCCATACACTGCTACTTTGATGCAGTGAGATACTTCAGTACCTTTGTTGTTAGCCAATTAGGGGAACATTTACCTCTCTACATCCAGATCTGTGTATATAGGTGAGCAGGTCAAAGATGAAGGCTAAAGAGAACAAGGGCAAGGTACTTCCTTTCTCAGAGGAACATGGCTTGGTGCTTGCCCACAGCCACAATGAATGCTCAGATTATAGTCTAAATAAAGCAACTCTATATTAATATCTTTCATCTTGAAAGAAAAACACAATAACACACACACCATAGGTTTGCTGCCACTGATCTTAATGTCCAAAGTTGGATGAATATATATTTGCAATTGTTATAGACTCTTGATGAATTCACTCTTATGTCATTATGTAATGATCCTCTTTGTCACTTGTTACAGTTTTTTACTTAAATTGCATTTTGTTGAGTGTAAGATACTACTCTTTGAAGTTTTTCCTGTGCAGTTTGCGTTTTGTTCATGAATTCTCTGCCTACCCCTATGTCTCCAAGACTTCTACCTAACTTGTCTTCCAGTAGGTGTAGTGTTTCTGTTTTAATATTTAGATCTTTGGTCCATTTAGACTTTAGTTTTGTGCATGTGATAGGCATGGACCTAGTTTCAGTCTTCAGCATGTGGAAAGCCATTTTTTCCAGCACCATTTATGAAAGAGGCTATCCTTCTTCCAGTAAACATGTTTAGCCCCTTTGTCAAATATCAGGTGGCTGAGTATCTTTGTAGTTGTGCTGCATCTTCTAATCTGTTCCATTGATCCTTGGGTCTATTTCTTTGTCATACCATGCTGATTTTATCACTGTGGCTTTGTAGTATAATTTTAAGTCAGGAATTGAGATGCTTCCTGCCTTGCCTTTGTTGCCCAGAACTTCCTTTGCTATTCTAGGTTTCTTCTGTTTCCAAATGTATTTTAGGAGTGTTTCTAGATCCGTGAGGTACATTAATGATATTTTGATTGGGATTGTGTTATATCTGCAACAACTGGGATCTCATATTATTGAGAAGTTTCTGCAGTTCAAGAGAAATCACCAACAGGGTGAAAAGAAAACCCACAGAATAGGAAAGAATTGTAGCCAGAAACTCCTCATACAAAGGACTTATATCCAAAACATATAAAGAACTGAAAAACATCAAGCCCCCCAAATTCAAAGACTCCAAAAATGGGCATCTGAGATGAACACACAGTTCTCAGATGAAGATATACAAATGGCAAATAAATACAGGGAGAAATGTTCACCATCACTGGTCATTTGAGAAATGCAAATTAAAACAACATTGAGATTTCATCTCACTAAGAAAGAATGGCTGCCATCAAGAAAACAACTGATAACAAATGTTGGCGAGGATGCAGGGAAAAAGGAACACTTCTCTACTGTTGGTGGGAGTGTAGACTGGTGCAACCACTATGGAAATCAGTATGGAGATTTCTCAGAAGACTAGGATTGGAAGTTCCATTCAATCTAGTTATTCCCCTCCTGGGTACTCTCCCAGAAAAACTGAAAACGTTATATCACAGTGATATATGTGCACCCATGTTCACAGCAGCACAATTTGTAATAGCTAAATCTTGGAAACAACCAAGATGACCATCAATGGCAGAGTGGATAAAAAAGATGTGGTATTTTTATACAATGGAGTAGCAGTCAGTTATAAAAAAAGGATAATCTTGAGGCCTTCATAGGCAAATGGAGACATCTTGAGACTATCCTCATTAGTGAAATAAATAAGAATCATATTTATAAAAATCACTTTGTGTCTCTAGTGTAAAAAGTAATAAGAAATGTAGGAACGGGGCTGGGGATTTAGCTCAGCGGCATAAGCTCCTGCCTTGCAAGCAGGCAGTCGTGAGTTCGATCCCTGGTACCGATAAAAAGGAAAAAGACAAAAAAAAAAAAAAAAAAAAAAAAAAGAAATGTAGGAGTAACATAACTGTAAATGTGTAATTGCTATTGTAAAATAGAGAGGAAAAGAAAGTGCTGTAAAGGATATAACTGCATGCATGTTTAAGTGTGTAGGACTGATAACCATATTACTAAGTTTTTGTTGGATCATTAAACAGAACTGTTTGCAATCTCACTGTTTGAATGTCCACTTTGTATGATTTACTTTTGTAACTTGAACAACTATTTCTAAGAGGGAAATATGTAATTTATCAACTAGCGATTTCTGTTTATTTTTTGAAATTATGTATTATTTCTACCCTTTTGTTTGTTCTCTTTAAATAAAAAAAAATACTACTGTTTGTTTTTCATTCCATCCACTCATTTTCAGTCTGTGTGTCTCCATAAAAGCAAAATGACTCTTATAGGCAACATATCTGTAGGTCTTGTTAATCAGTTCAACCATTTTTCCAGTCTTGGGCATCAAACCTAGGGCCTCACACATGCTAGGCAAGCACTCTACCACTGAACCACATCCCCATCCCTTATTTATTTGTTGACAGGTAAGAACATCTTGTTGCCATTTTGTCAATTGTCTTCTGGATGTTTTATACTCCTTTCATCCCTTTATTTGTCTCTTTCTGCCTTTAGGAATTTGACCACTTTCTGTAGGGGTCTACTTTTATGCTCCAAAAACGGTTTTTCTTCAAAAAGAAAACAACACTTCACATACAAAGTGTTGGAAACTGGGATGACTCTGGATTTCATTGATAAATTGTGGATTAAATGATATTAAGAATTGCCTCCAAAGTTCTGTAGAAATGTGGCTACTAGTATATATCTAACCAAAATAGGTATTTTCATAAAGTCTCAAAAAAATAGCTCTTCTATATCCCTCTCTCATGCAACTATGCTAGAAAATATGCTTCACAAAGTGATAAAGAAACCAGGAGAAAGAATCATATAGCTTCCAGAAAATGTATGCTTCAACAGAGAAAAGAGGGAAAAGAGAGTCCCAGCACTGTGGACAAGAAAACCCAGAATAATGGGAAACTAAGTTTTTAAAAATCAGCTAATACAGACTATAAGTCAGGAGAGCAGAGACCTCCAGGGAAACATCTCAAAAAGAAAGGAAGAAGGAAAGAAGGGTCGCAGGGAACTTAGTGGACAGCTGACGTATTTTTGGTTTCTGTGTTCATCAGAGGTTTGGAGAATCCATGAATGATTATGTACATAAATTTACAACCAAAATGGAATCATTTTTTTGTTTTAGTCCTTCATTAAGAAGTAAGATATAATTGAAATGCACTGTGAATGTCCTCATATTCTGTGACTGTAATAGGATAATAATATAAACACTGCAATTTGTACAGACATTTGATAATGAGAGATGAGAAAAATAAATATCGAAGAGTCAAGAGAATCAAATTTTGCTCACTATAATAAGAACTCAGTGGATAATATATAAAATTAAGAACTAAAACACTAACATTATATACATATCATTTATAAACATAGGTGTAAAAGATGCTTTCAGGGAATAGGAATTATGAGTGGAGGGGTGCAGTCAAACACTAATGTTTCCCTTTTATAAGTCTTGAAAAATTATTCCACATGTAAAAATAATTACTTATAGTATTATGATAATAGTATATCTCAAAAAAACCCAAAAATCTCAAATCTGTGTTTCTAAGTTCTAAATTAAGCTTTTACAATCATTTTCTCCACCACAAAATTTTTAGAATGGAGAATTTTTGTTCTAAATTTTGTCCATGTGGAACTCATTTCCACATGGTATACACTAGATAGGCTTTTAATTTTGTTTTTTAATGGACATATAGTTGACTTAATCACCACTTATTATTTTTTGCTAGGTTATTTTATTAGTTTTTGTGGCGCTGGGGATGGAACCAGAGTTTTGCACAGGCTAGGGAAGTACTCTACCACTGAGCAACACCCTTAAATCTCCAAATTATTTGAAATGGCATTTATATCGTACAGGCTTCTACCAGGGCACTGTTTTGCTGAGGGAGCTAATGCCTTTGTGATCACAAAAAAGGAAAGATGGTCACAGTGCAACTGAAGATTTATTGAGGCCTAGAGAGACCCAAGGATGCAGGAAGTTAGAACTGGGGTTGATAAATGTGCAGGCGTTCAGTGGGCAGGCCACCCAGGAGTCATTCAGGTGATGTAAAATCCTAGCTGGGCACAGCTCTTGAGATGTTTTTAGGGTTCCTCTTCTACTCCAGCTGACAGAACCTATATTATTTCATTAGTATCTTATTGTAGTTAGTGGCAACACCTAGAGATTACTGCCTCCTGAAAGGTGTGAGTATCCAGAGTTGGCTAGCTTCTCTAAGAATCTATTACGGTTAATCTTTTTAAACGCACTTTTAAAAAAATTAATCATCTCCAGCCAGATGTGGTGGACACATTTGTAATAGCAGCACTTGAGAGTTTGGGGCAGGAATACCAAAAGTTGGAGACCAGTCTGGACTACATAATAACACCCTGTCTCCAAAAAAAAAAAAAAGGAAAAAAGAAACAAAAATAAAAAACTTTCCTTGCGTTAAAGTGCTTGGATTGAGAAAACCTTCATGTTTGCACCACAACCTCCATGTTTGCACCAGGTGAGGAGTTTTCAGGCCCCGCCTCCTCGCTCGAGGCCCCGCCTCCCAGGCCCCGCCTCCCTGGCCCCGCCTCCCAGGCCCCGCCTCCAGCCCCAGGTCCCGCCCTCGGCTCGGGTCACCACTTTCGTCATCTGGTGGCGTCCTGTCGGCCATTGCTTTTTGATGCTTTCCTGCGCGCTCTCTACAAGTGACATTAGGTTTACAGCCGCGTGACAGCGGAAGCCTGAGGAAAGAGAGAGACAAGCCCGAACGTCAATCCCACACTGAATGCTGCCTCAGTCCTCCTGGTCACGTGGCTCCAGAGGCCCCGCCCTCCAGCCTGCTTCGTTGCTAGGCAACCGCGGAGGCGCGGCGCTTGGAGTTGCTAGGCCCTAGGATCCGCGTGTGTGGATGGACCAGTACTGCATCCTGGGCCGCATAGGGGAGGGCGCCCATGGCATCGTCTTCAAGGCTAAGCATGTGGAGGTGAGGCCGCCGCGGGCGATCCTGTGCCCCTCGCCCCGTGCTGCTGCCACGCAGGACAGCTTTCTGACCTCTTTTAAAAAGCCACGGCCACCACCCCATCCCATAGTGACCCCAGACCCGTTCCATTGCCGCGCTGTGGGATCGCGCCCTGCCCACGGGGCCTTTCTCGCTGTTCACCAGCCCTGGGGTGGAGGCGGATGGGAGGCTGCAGGAGGCAGTCTTGAGCTCTTCTTACACAGACTGGTGAGATCGTTGCCCTCAAGAAGGTAGCCCTGCGGCGACTAGAGGATGGCATCCCCAACCAAGCCCTTCGGGAGATCAAGGCTCTGCAGGAGATTGAGGACAGTCAGTTTGTGAGTGGGGGCTGGGCTGGGCTGGGGGGGCTGGGCTGGGCTGGGCTGGGCGAGCGGGCAGCAGGGCTGAGGCATCTCCTTCGGACCTCCTGCCTTTTACCATTTGCTGAGCTCCTTTCGAGGACTTCCTGCCTCACCCACTGCTCATTCACCTGTCTCCTTACGTTTTCTTTTCGTCCCTCTTTTGCCCAGTTGTTCACTCTTATTCACCTCCTTACATCATTTTGGTTTTATTTAATCAAAACATTTAGTGGTTTTTTTTTTTTTTTTTCTTGCTGGAAATGGAACCCAGCACCTTGTGCAAGCTAGGCAAGCTCTCTAGCACTGTTACACCGCTAGCTCCAGTGATTTTAGAGCTCCTCATATGTTCTGCATTGGCCATATTAAATATTTTATGTACATTGTCATCCTGAGTGCGCTTTACTGCTCTCCAAGGCAGGTTTTGGGATCTTTGTTTCTCAGGCAAGGGGTAGAGGTTCTGTCACCAGTCCACGGGCCCTCAGCTAGTCAGTGGAAGCCTTGCCCTTTGAGGAGTTCAGTCTTCCCTTGAGCTTCCCCTGAGCTCTGCACTATGTGCTCTCCCTACCAGAGCAGGGAAAAACCAGCCCTGAGCCATCTCCTGAGAATGCATGTGTGATAGGGGAGACAGTGGGACCCACTGGCATAGTGTGTGTGCCCTGACATGCAAGGTCTATTTGGACGTCTTTCACCCCCAGCATCGGTATTCTTTATGGTGCTTTCCTTTCCATGATGGAGAATGTACTCAGCTCTCTGGAGAGTTGGCTGAGTTCTGGTCTCTGTAATTTGCTGACTTAAATTCGTTGAGGTACCTTTTGAAACTTCATGACACTGGTTTTATACAAAGATGTTATCTATCTGAATGTATATGAGCCAGATGTGCTGAAAAGTCTAGTAGAAAATGCTCCAAGGTTGATTGCAGGAGACCAGATTTTTCTTTTCTTTCTTTTTTTCTATATAATTTTGTATATTACCTGAATGTATGTGTTTTGATCTGTAAATAAGGACATTCGTGTTTTTGAGGGCTTGTGGGGACTGGGACTTATGTAGCTTAGTGGTAGAATGTTTGCTTAGTGTGCCCAAGGCCCTGGGTTCAGACCCCAATACCACACACCAAGACACACCAAGACACACACACACACACACAGCACTTCCAGACAGTCCGAGTGTGAGGTGGGTGAGGGAGACCCCGTCAGGAGACTGGTACTATGGCCCCACATTCCATGCACAGCAGTCCTGAAGGTTCTGTTTTAAAATTTACTCCAGAGTTGCCCCATCCCTGGTCATTCTTACCTTATTCATCTCTGCAGTGACCAACACCAGTCAAAGCTCCAGGAGAACAGCAGACCTCCTTCGCCTAAAAGACAACCCATTCTCCTGTCCCTTTAGCCTCTGTGCCAGCCTCAGGCCCTTGCACTTGCTGTTCCCCCTACCTGAGACATCTCAGATTGCCATATAACTGGCTGTCATCCAAGCCTCCACTGATCTTTCCCTATCTTGTACAATAACCCTTTCTCCCTCACTCAAAATCACATTGGTGACTGGACACGGTGGCACACACCTATAATATCAGCACTCAGGAGGCTGAGGCAGGAGGATTACCACGAGTTCCAGGCCTGCCTAAGCTACATAGTAAGTTCCAGTGTGAGCTACATAATGAGACCCTGTCTTAAAAAAAAAAAATTATGTTTTTAAAAACTCACATTTTCTTCTTGTATGTCTATTCCTCTACTTCCTGGAACCTAAGCATATCCCCTTCATTTGTTGATCGATTGTCTCCTGTACTGAGATCTCACACCTGTGCAGCCTGGGCCCTCTGGCACTGAGGAAATTAGTGTGTGTGTGTGTGTGTGTGTGTGTGTGTGTGTGTGTGTGCGCTCTGTCTCCATCTGTCCCAGATCCAGAGAGGATTTGATTCCTAGTGCCTTCCCTAGATTCTGGGATTTAATGACCATGAAGGAAACAGACCCATCTGCTTATTTATCTCCAGATGATTTTCCAAGAACTGACCTTCTCCTTGCATGCTAGCGGAGAGTTAGAGAGGAACCTGTTTTGTCTCTGGAAACCAGAGCAGCCAGAGCACCATCTCTGTGCCCTGGTCTCTGCCAGCCTGGTCCTCTGTCGGAATGGGCCGAGGGTTCCAGGGGTTGCAGAAGAGATCTGCTCAGGTGGGTCTGGCACCTGATGAGGACGTCTGCCCACAGGTGGTGCAGCTGAAGGCTGTGTTCCCGCATGGCATGGGCTTTGTCCTGGCCTTCGAGTTCATGCTGTCAGACCTGGCTGAAGTGGTTCGCCATGCCCAGAAGCCACTGGCCCCAGCCCAGGTTAAGAGCTACCTGCAGATGCTGCTGAAGGGTGTGGCCTTCTGCCATGCCAACAACATCGTGCATCGGGTCAGTGCTCACAAGGGCCGGGTGGGCCAGCCCTTAAAGGTGTGATCACAGGTGTCAAGTTCTTCTGGTGAGCAGCCAGGGATGTGGCACTAGCGGAGGCAGAGCCTGGGCTCACTCAGGCTGCCAGCCTGCTGGTTCCTCACATCCCAAAGTCCCGAGGGGATTGCAGAGGGACCAATGCTGCCTTTCATCTCCCAGGACCTAAAACCTGCCAACCTGCTCATCAGCGCATCAGGCCAGCTCAAAATCGCTGACTTTGGCCTGGCCCGGATCTTTTCTCCAGATGGCAGTCGCCTCTACACACACCAGGTAGCCACCAGGTAGGAAGCCACCACACCCTGACTGGGGAAGAGATATTTCTGGGCCTTCTTCCCAAACGTGGCTTGTGAGGTTGAGGTGGGGCTGAGCTGAACTTCAGCCTTTGATCCTCAGCATTGTGTTCCCCAGGTGGTACCGAGCCCCAGAGCTACTATACGGCGCCCGCCAGTATGACCAAGGTGTGGACCTATGGTGAGACTCCTAGGGGAAGGAAGGGATGATGTGGGTTGTGGTGGGGGGAATTCTCCCTGGTGGGTGGGTGTTTTTGAACTAGGCGAGGGGTAGAGGCAGAAGAAGAGAGATTGTCCCAGGTGTGAAGCTTCTTAGTAGTAGGGGAGGTGGTCTGGAGCTCAGAGTGTGCACTGTCCAAGCTGCCATGTGCAAGGGTCAGACCTTAAGAGGACATGTCTGAGCCAGTCAGAGTGTCATGTTCCTGGGTATGAAGGCTTTGAGCCTTTTGAGGGGTGTAGATGGCTTGTCATACCCAAGGTTTGAGATTTGGGACTCTGCAGTGAAGTGAAGGGTGAGCCCTGTGTCCCACAGCAGGAGGCTCTGAAAAGTTTTGGAGCCACTGGGGATTTCCTTTGTATTCCTAGGCCGAGGACTCTGGGGGCGTGTACCACTGGACTTGGAACTCCAAACTCTGGTTGAGTTGTTGGAGGTGCCATGTTCGTCTGTGTTCTGTGGGTGAGATCCTAGGCCACCAGGGTTCTCTATCCACAGGGCTGTGGGCTGCATCATGGGGGAGCTGTTGAACGGCTCCCCCCTCTTCCCAGGAGAGAACGACATTGAACAGCTTTGCTGTGTGCTGCGCATCTTGGGCACCCCCAGCCCCCAAGTCTGGCCGGTTTGTGGGGCCCCCGGTGGGAAGAGTGTGGGAAGGCGGGCTCTGTTCCCATCAGAAAGTGACTGCTTCCTCATCTTATGGCCCAGCCCCGCTGGGCCAACAGACACCACCACCCTAGCCCAGCCCTGGTCCTTCCCTGCCCTACTGGAGGCAAGAGGGCCCAGTCCTGTGCTCTGCTTGTCCACACCCCAGCACACGGACATGTGGTCAGCAAGCTGGGCACCGGGAACGGTGCAGTGGTGGAGTGGTGAAGGGAGCAGTGCGTGAGTGTGAGCACACAGGACCCCAAGGGCTGGCAGCAGGGAGCACGGAGGCACCACCTGCTCCCCTCTGCCTTCCTCCTCTTCCTGCTGCAGGAGATCACAGAGCTGCCGGACTACAACAAGATCTCCTTTAAGGAGCAGGCACCCGTGCCCCTGCAGGAGGTGCTGCCCGATGCCTCTCCTCAGGCTTTGGATCTCCTGGGTCGCTTCCTCCTCTACCCGCCTCGCCAGCGCATTGCAGCATCCCAGGTCGGGTGAGAGGCCCTGGGTGCTGTCCCTTCAGCATCACACCGCCTCCACTGAACGGTGGCAGCGCCCAGCAGGAAGCCAGGGCCCCCAGTCAAGGGCTTAGGCACAGCTGTATGAAAAGCTGTCTGCCGAAGAGAGCAGTGGCCTGGAGGACAGGGTCCAGGCAGCTGGCTGTTGGTGGAAGGCAGGGAAGGACAGGGAGCACCACAGGAGCCAGGCCTTGCTTCCACAGGGGCCTCTCCCTCTGACCTGATGGCCACCCATTCCCTCCTGCACTTGGTGCCCGCAGCCAGTGTGTATAGATGCGCTTGGTTCTCGGTGTCAGCAGCTCCCATGGACTGTGCCTTCCAGAACCTGTGTCTCCTCGCATCTCTCTCACCTGCAGAGAGGGACTTTGTGCAGTAGAGCAGGTCACACCCTTGCTCTGTAGTCCCTCCCGTGACTCCTCACTCACCAGGCCAGCCAGGGCCATGAGTGCCGCAGGCTTGGGTGCGTCACCTCCTCACCCCATATGCTGTTGTCCCATGCTCACACCCCTCCAGCCCCAGGCCTCCCCTGAGGTCTGTGCACTTCTGTCCTTGGCCTTGAGCTGTTCCCCAGGCTGCCTCATCTCCTACTCACTTGCCCCCTGCAAGCCTGCAGTCTGGCCAGTGTCCCACTTTGTCCTCCGGCTGTCCTGTGTGGCAGCCCTCGTTGCAGGACTCACTGTGGGTTGTGCTCCTTTACCTGGCTTACTGCCCCACCTCACCTCTCTTGGTCTGTCGTGTTCACCTCTGTGTCCTTGGACTCTGGAACAGTGCTCTAGATGGTGGGCATCCAGGAAGGGTTTTCCAAGTCAGTGGAGCCCATGAGTCAGCTCCTCACCCTCTGCCTGAGGCTAGGGACAGGCCACTGACTGCTACCCCCTTTGCCACCCCAGGCCCTCCTGCATCAGTACTTCTTCACGGCTCCCTTGCCTGCCCACCCATCAGAGCTGCCTGTTCCCCAGCGCCCAGGCGGGCCCGTCCCCAAGGCACATCCGGGGCCCCCCCACATCCATGACTTCCACGTGGACCGGCCTCTGGAGGAGTCGCTGTTAAACCCAGAGCTGATTCGGCCCTTCATCCCGGAGGGGTGAGGCGCTGGCTCCCGTCCTGCCTGCCTGCCCCACGGTGCATCCTCTGCTTCCTCGCTGACTCAGCCTCCAGAGCCTGGCACAGCCACACAGAGCCACCCCATGTCTTGCCCTGTTCCTTCACCCCCACAAGGCAGTGTCAAGGAGGCAGAGGGCACAGCCTGGCACAGCCCAGCAGAGGAGACCCACGGCCTGTGCACTGAGCCATCAGAAGCGGGAGCCGTGCCTTCATGAAGTGGCATGCTGCTTTAGGCCTTCTCCGGACACTGTCTCCTGCCCTGGGACAGCTGCATCAGAATCGTCTGGGGGAGTGCAGAGAGGATGGTGTCTTCATGTTGGAAACTCCTGTGGGAAGCAGGTGTGCTTCTGTTTGCTTTGTTCTCAGTGAGCCTTTTGGTTCCCTAATTGAGATTTATATAAAAGCCTCAATGGCTCTGAGTGCGTCTGTCTCTCTTCCATTCCTAAAAGGGAAAAAGGGAGGTGGCATTGTCTCGTGGCCCTCAGCGGTGGTCGCAGCCACTCTTGCCCTGAGAGTGTCTTGTGTCTTTTGCATGGCTGTGTGCTGGTTGGGAAAGGAAGTGGATGGGGACAGGCAGGCTGGGGACTCACAGACCAGTTAGCAGCATCCACTCTGCCCACGAAGGTACCCCAGCAGCCGCCGCCATGCAAATATGGAATCTGGTTGATCTGGAACTCATTTACCAGGGAAATGCCATTGTAACCCTAGCCAACACATTTATTCTTACAACAGTTACATAAAATGATGCTTAAAAATACAAGAAGAGGAAGCAGTGGGAGGACCTAGCTACCAGGGGCCGTGCTGCTGCAAGCTTACATCATAATTGAGACGGTGCTGCCAGTTCAGGGATCAATCAGCCTGGAGAAGCTTAGTTTAGGGGTTCTGTTTTCTCAGAATCTTTGTCTTAGGCTTCATGTGCTTAAATTCTCTGGGCAGTGAGCACATGGAGGTGACTCACGGTGCTGTAGCCATTGGCCACTGGGCACTTAGTGAAAAGAGGAGGCAGCTGTAAGCCCAGTTGCTGCTTTCAGGAAAGGGTGGTGTTCTCCTGTGACCTCTGGTGTTTATCCCAGCCACATCTTCTGCAGATTGTCAGTTTCAGTCTCAAAATCTGTGCTGATAAGAATCTGTGCCTGGATTTGGTTAGTTTGGAAAAGGTACAATTGGATAGCCAAGTGTAATCCCAGCACTGTTGGAGGCTGAGGCAGGAGAACTGCACGTTCAACCTCAGGCTAGCAACTTAGTGACTTTGCTATCATTAAACCTCAAAATTAAAAAATAAGGGGCTGGAGACACATCCCCATGCAACGACCTGGGGTTCATTCTCCAGTACCAGCCTAACAAAAGAGGTGGCTGATGGAAACCTGATTTGGTATTTATCAATTGATATCTTAAATTATTCCTACAAAAACTTTTCTACAGCGTACATTGTACAGTGGTAACTAGGGACATGAGATGAGAATATAAATAAGCAGCACAAAGAACAGGACTACCTTTTCCAGACTATAACAACTATCCTCACCAAACTGTGTAACAGTTATATACTCTACGCCCAGGATGCTTTCTAGGTTGCAAGACACCCATAAAGATACCATATTGTACACACAGAGTATGTAGCAGTGTTACATACCTATTATCCCTGTTATTCAGGAGGCTGAGACAGGAGATCTCAAATTCAAGGCCAGCCTGGACAGTTTAGCAAGACCTTATCTCAGAATAGGTAGGGACTGGGTATATAACACAGCAGTAGAGTACAAGCCTTGCATGCATGAGGCTGGGTTCAATCCTTAGGACTGGATAAAACACTATGCAATGTGCAAAATTTCAAGAAAAAAAGGTAACATAACCAAATACACAAAATAGAGAAGGTAGAAATACATAGCACATAGTAAGATGATCATTTTTAAATAAAAACTAATAGTAGTAATTTGTTGGGGTTTTTTGTTTTGTTTTGTGTTTTTTGTTTCCCTTTGGTTTTATTTTGCGATCAAGATATTGCTAAATTGTCCAACCTGGTTGTAAGCTTGTAATCCTACTTCAGCCTTCTGAATAGTTGGGATCACAGCTAAAATGTTAGTAATTTAAATGTAAATAGAATAAATTTTCTGTCTGAAACAAAGCTTGCTATCTTCACTGAAAGTAAAGTAAAACTATAGTATAATATTCAAGGGAAGACTGAAATGTAAACGTCAAGACTTCAAGCAAAAGAATAAAAATAACATGAGCAAAAATCTAGGACACTTATTTGATATCACATAATGCTTTTAAGGCAGGTAGTATTACCAGGGTTAAATATTAAGTTCTAATGGTAAAGTCTATTTCCTAGCAAAATGTTTACATTTGTATACATGTGATAGTATAATCTCAAATTTTGAGATAAATACAAAGTAGTAACAAAGTCATAAACTGACTTCCAAAGTGGTAGGTTTAAAATCACTCTTGAAGCTGGGCATGGTGTCAAACTCCTGTAATCCCAGCATTTGGGAGACTGAGGCAGGCAGATCATTGTGAGTTTGAGACCAGCCTGGGCTACAAAGTAAGCCCAAAGCCAGCCTGAACCACATAGCAAGACTCTCCAAGAAACAGCATCGGACCTGGCGTGGTAGCTGATGCTTGTAATCCCAGCATTCATGAGGCTGAGGCAAGAGGATTGTCATGAGTTGGAGGCCAGTCTGGACTTAACAGCAAGACTCGGTGTGAAAAAAAAAAAAAAAAAGAAAAAAGTTTGGAAAGTATGTAGGTAAACAGACTGACTAATGGTTGTATATTGCCAAAAATCCAGAGCTGAGAGAGTATTAGAAAAGACTATTGCATAAGGACAGCACTCTGACCTCAGGATCTAACACCTCAGAATCAAATGAGCTGGGGATGTAGCTCAGTGGTAATGACTGCCTAGCATGTACAAGACCCTGAGTTCAATTCCCAATCTCTCTCTCTCTCTCTCTCTCTCTCGCTCTCTCTCTCTCTCTCAGAACTCTCTCTCTCTCTCTCTCTTTCTCTCACACACACACAGAACTCTCTCTCTCTCTCTCTCACACACACACACACACACACACACACACACACACACAGAAAGAATCAAATGGGAAAGGGCGTTACTACTTTCATAGAGGGAAAGATAAGCAAGACAAGCAGAAACTTTCCAGGAGAGGGCAGCAAGCAGCCAGGTGAGCAGACAGTGTAATCACAGTGGACTCTTGGGAGGGAACCTTAGGTCTTCAGATTGTTTGAATGAGGCCCAAACAGAGCAGCTCTGTCTCTCACTGCAGAGGCCATCACTGTCAAGAAAGTAACAGTTGTTGTAGCCACACTTCCCACCACGCTGGCCACAGCATGGTTCAGGCTTTGGTAGGTCAGTATGGAGGCTATTGGTGTGGATTTTTCCAAACCAGCCCTACTTTGCTCCCTCATTCTGACATTGTAACTATATTTCTTATCCTGATCTTTAATTTAGAATCTGAAACTGATTTGTCTTGATCCTGATCCATCTCCACCTCGAGCTCAGCCAGGAGCCTGCCACTGAACATAAACCAGACACTGACTTCCACTCTTAACTCTGACAGTGACCTACAGTGATAGACAAACTGAAGTCACCTCCAAATACGTCCCGTCCTAACCCATGAATGTTTCCTTATAAGGTGCTGTGGTCCCATTTGGTTTGAGTGTTTCCCTCGTAGCTTCTTGTGCTAGAGGCTTGGCTCCAGCCTGACCACGTTCAAGCGGTGTAATATTTGAAACCCTTTACCATGCGGGACTCAAATGCGGACGGACCTTGGGCGGAAGTGTAGCGGGTGGGCGGGTTACTGGGCGGGGCGGGGCGGGTTACTGGGCGGGGCGGGGCGGGGCGGGGGCGGAAGCGGGAAGACTGGTGGCGAGGCGGGAGACAGCTGGGCGAGATGGCTCTGCAGCTGGGGCCAGACGAGCTACTGCACGTATTTTCCTTCCTGGAGGCCCGAGACCTGCTGTGCGCCGCACAGGTGAACAAGGTGAGGACCTGGCTGGTGGTCGCCGGCGTGTCCCAAAGCAGGCGCACAGCGGGCTTCTCATTCCCCGAAAACCGGTCTCAGTGCGTTGGAGGACTGGCAGCCTTGGAGGAAGCTTGCAGAACGAATTCAGTTTCATTTTCGGGACCACCCTGTGCCAGTGTTCGCTTTTAAACGTAGCGCTACTCGGGTCTCTTGGCCTCGGACTCTCCCTTGCGCTTTTTCAGCAGTGGCAGTTGCGTGCCCTGGGGCACTAAGGCCATAATTATAGTTTTAAATAGATTCAGTAAAATATTTTGATTTTTCACCTCCATTTTTACTGTTAAAAATATTGAGTCACACAGAGTGATTTGCCCAAGCTGAGCCTCGGAGTCATATACTGCCGTGAGACTGGTACCCTGGCTATTATCACAGAAATAGTGTAGCTGTAGGAGGAGCAAGGTTTGGAGGAGAGGCGCCTTAACACCCTTTGGAGGCACCAGTTTTTCTCACTGGTCTAAAGAGATTTGTAATTTCTGCTTCATATTGTGAAGGCCAGAATCTAACAGAGGGATTCTTAAAAGTGGATACCATTTATTTTGAACTTTTTTTTGGTGTTACTGAGATTGAACTCACAACTTCAGACTTGCCAGGCAGACACTTAAGCCACTAAGCTAAATCGCCAGCCTGATATTTATTTTGCAGAGCATATTACACATAGATTTCAGCTGGATTTTGCACTAGAAACTATATAAAAGGAAAATGCTCAAGTCTTTGCTTGATCTGATTTTTCAAAATCCAACTTTACTTTTTTTTTTTTTTTAATGGTATGAGGGTTTGAACTTAAAACCCCATGCTTGCCAGGCAGGCAATCGATGCAGTTGAACCATATCCCTGGCCCCATCCAACTTTACATTCTTACCAGGTGAAAAGATTTAAAGGCCTAGAGCTTTTGATCTGGCAGATGAATGAGATCTGTCAATGTAGGATGCTGAGCTTAGAGAGGATCACAATTGCTTCTGTCAAGGGCTTAGAAATACACATTTCTAGGAGGAAACCTTCAGAGGGTTGGAGCACCGAAGGCTCTTGGAGCCTTGTGTGGTCCAGAACCCACAGCAACTTAGCTGGGGAAGCCGGAAGGTTGCAGGAGACAGGCCTGGGTCTGAGTACTCTGATTCCCGTCCCATAAAGGGAAGCATCCTGAATCTCTTCTGCAGGGAGAAGTTTCCAAAGCAGTGCCTACACAGCACCATTCCCTAGAGAGGCTGGTGTACCACCTTGGCATCTGGGCCCTCCCCTTGGCCACTGCCTTAGTCTGCTTACTCAGTTGCTACACCTGTCATAAGATCTCTGATCTCCTTCCCAGGCTTTCCTGCTCACAGCAGCCAGAGCCAGCTTCCCAAAATTCATTTTGCCCCTGCTGTTCCCTCATGAAGTCCTCAAGTATCTTCTCACTATTTTTACCATTAAGACTTTTGGGAACTGGTCTAAGCCGATCTTAGCTCCTTTTCCCATTTCTCCCCAATCGGAACCTTTTGTTCTGATTAAAGCAATTGCTCACCCACCTGTTTCACACAGGAATTCTAGTTGCCCTACTGTTCTGTTTCTCCCTGTAATGCCTCTGCCATTCTTGTAGAGAGCAACTACTTCCTTTGAAATTTGATCGGTAATCACTTCTGTGACCACCTCTCCCCAATTTCTCTCGATCCTCTCTGATTGTCTTACTCATTTGGTTGGTTTTTTCTGATTGTCCAGATTTATGTCTAATTCCCCATGGTGGTTTTCCTTGAGGTCAGGCCAGATCTGGTTTAGCTCTTTGTCCCCTTCGCAGAGCTTGGCAAACTAAGTGCTGTCCATTGACTGACAGATGCTGTGTTCTCTCCCTCCTTATTCTAGGTCTGGAACGAAGTTTCACAGACCAAGGAACTCTGGAGGTGAGTAAAGGAAGATTAAAAGGTGTAGCTGGGCATGGTGGTGCATACTTGTAATTCCAGAACTCTTGAGAGGCTGAGGCAGACAGTTAGCAAGTTCAAGACCCAGCCAGGCAACTTAGTGAGACCCTATTTCAAAAACATTTCAAACAAAACAAAACAAAAGGTCTGGATAAATCTGCACTTCTGTGCTCTGAATTTCTGGTTCTCTTGAGTGCATAGAAAGGATTATTCCTGGCCTGCATTACCAGAAACCCCTTTTGTCTAGGGACATGAGACTGTCGGATGGGATATTAATTGAAGGTAGAGTTACACTGTCTGGGGCAGAAGTGGACAGCACATGAATGCACCTGGCTGACAGAAGACAAATCCACAGAAATATGATCTAATTATTTTTAATTCAGCTTTGGTGTAACAGCATAGCAATGTAACTATGTGATAGAATTTATGGAACAGAAAGAATATATACAAAACATTTCGATATTTGTATAGAAAATGTGTTTGTATAGCATGAAGGATTTCTCTGCCATGAAAAAGGATACATTTGAGTCATTTGTGGGGAAACAGGTGCACCTTGAGACCATGGTGTTAAGTGAAATCATATATACAGCCTTAAATGAGAAACCCACAGCATAAATCATTTGAAGAGAAAAATAAAAGATAGGTAATAGGAAACAGGAAGGTAGATCTTTTTGCTCTTGGAAAGGGGCTCTAGAGATAGAGGGAGGGGAAGGCCAAATAAAATTACTAAGATGTGTTACACGGGCCAGGGATTTAGCTCAGTGGCATAAGTGCCTGCCTGGCAAGTGCAAGGTCATGAATTTGATCCCTGGTATTAAAAAAAAAAAAAAAGATGTGTTACATATGTGTACCAACTCCTTATAATGAATGTAATCATTAAGTACTGCAAATGTACTAATGAAAAGTTTTTAAAAGAGAAAATACAAAGTATTGTAATCATTAAATCACTAAATTTTTCAAACTCAGTCCCACTTTAGAACCTGACATCTCTTCTTTTGTACCAAGAATTAACTACCAGAAATGAAAAAGAAAAGTAGGAAAAAACAAAGACCTGCCAGAACTCCTACCTCTACCTCTTGGTGAATACAGCACAGCCCTGACTATCAAGAAGGCATTATAATGAATTGTAGTCACTCGTGGTGGGAAACTTCCTGTTCCCACATGAAGATTCTACAAAACGTGGAGGAATCTTTATTTTTATTTTTAGGACAACTATGCCTTGAGATATTTGGGATTTCAGGAATGCCAGTCTACCATATGTAGTTTGCAGTGTTATGTAATACCGTTCTGTTGTTCCATTTTATTACTAATATTAATTAGGAAAATAATCTCTAGTCAGTTTGGGTAAGAACTTTCACTAGAATCTAATCATCCCTTCAGTTTGGCATAATGTTCAGTTCTGGAAGTTGTTTTTTTGTTTGTCTCTATTTTATAAGTAAGTGGACAAAGCTTATGTCTTGCCAAGTATGTTTCTCAAAGAAATTGTTTGAATGAGTTATTTACCTGGGTGAGATGCCAGTACAGGCTTTGTTCTCATCTTTACTCATAAGCCAGGGTAGGATTTTTCCCACTGAGTGGAATACATATTTTTTTGAGAAGTTAAAAAACAGTTCTCTTCCACATGTCACATGCCCTCCGCAGAGTGGCACTTGTCACGTTTGCTTCAGGTCCCTGTGTAAGCTGCTCTCTGCAGGCCACATCACTAGTGGATTTTCAGTCTGTTACTGTTGCGGAGTGTTTGTGCTGAACAGTTTAGTCTGAAGTCATGCTTTGTGATCCATCGTTCTGCAAAACCCTGCGTTTTATATGGTGAAGCTACTTCATGTGAGCCAGTCTTAAAAACACACAAAGTAACCCAGGAAGCCTGGAGGACCTCTCTGCCCACAGGGTGTCCCATGTGGGCTCTGGAATCCTTCTCATGCTGTCAGCAGCTTTCCAGTGTCCGGCACAGCCCAAGTGCACACAGGGCTTTGATGGCAGAGATGTGTCGTGTTGTATCTGTTTAGAACATGGAGTGTGGACCGCTTACTCCCATCTGACCTCATACTCTTACAGGCGCTGGACTGGAGCCAGATGATGCCAGTTAGTTCTGGGGTAGCCTGAATGCCGAAAGCCCCTGGCCCTTTCCAGGCAGCTGCCCACTTTGAGCACAGCTGCCATAACAGTGTAGCGCAGTTTTGAGTTCCCATCCCTGGTACCAAAGGGAAAAAAAAAGACAAAAACAACAACAAAAACTATTATTAAAGACAAGCATATAACAATAACTGGACTGATCTGTCAAGAAAATGTGATAGTTGTATATGCTCCAGTAAAAACAACAAACATGTAGGGCTGATGGAACTGAAGGAAGAAACAGATAATTCAACAATGTGAATTGGCTATCGAAAGAAAGATCTGGCTTTTGAATCCCATTGTTTAAGCACTCTCTGTCTTTGTGGCCTCCTGTGTAGGATGGGGACTACTTCAGAGTAGTTGTGAAGGTCAGAGCAGTGCCTTTATGACAGGTAGGTGGCACTCACTCAGTGCTAATCACTTTCCAGGAAAGGAAGCTGAGACCTAGATGGAGGCAACAAGAGTTCAAGATTTGAAAGCCAATGCATGGCATAGCTAGGCTTCAAAGCTAGACCTAGCTCCAAAATTCATAACAGCTATATTGTGCCAGAATTGAAGTTCCTCTTTTTCAGGCATCTGTGTGTGAGTCGCTGGTCCTCCTGCAAAGCCTCCCGGATGGTCCTGGGCACACAAACATGGAAACAGTATTATCTCTGCCGGTCTGAGCTGGAGTTCCGAGTGGCATCTGGGCGGCCTGGGAAGGACTTCATCTGCAAAGCGATTGCTGGGCACACAGGTACAAGGAAGGACTGTGGCAGGAATGCCTGCTCTCAGCTGCCCAGGCTCTCCTTGGCTGAATCCTATAGGATCTGGCATTTGGCCAGTGATATGAACAGTGCTACTTGCCAAGTACATATCTGAGCTGATTGATCATGTTATATTTTGTGAGCCACACAATAACCTGTGAAGAAGGAACCAGTTATGTTTCAGAGTGAACAAACAGAATCTAAGAGTTGGAAGTCATTCACAGTCATGTGACTGGTAGATGAGGGTGGAATAGAACCGAGTTGTAATTCAGAAGCTCTAGTTCTTTCCTATTTTCTTTTCCCCTAAGTAGGCACCCATTGTTTTCCCAAGATAGAGAGAGAACAGTGGTTTTTCTGCCAGCCCTCTTCACCAGTAGAGTGTTTGGATTGCAGACCATCAATCTCTGCCCTCTCGCAGGATACATAGAGCGACTGGCCTACATTTCAACCAATGAGTACCGGTTTGATGGAGGAGAGAAGTCTGTGATTTGCACTGTGTCCTCAGACTGTACTGTGCGTGCCTGGGATTTGCAGGAGGTGAGCTGGCCCATAGAAAGGGAAGGTGATGGTGAGATTGACTGGATCCTTACGTTGTACTTGGGCTTATCCAGTTATCTTAAAGAACTATTACGATAGGAAGTGGGAGCCTCTTGTAGATGGAAAACCTACAACTTGTAAGAGGCTTAATCAGCACGTGACGTCATGCTGCCACCGAGCGGTGGACGAACCTGCACTTGACATTGTGGTGCAGCCAGTCTTACGGACAGCTTCCTGGCTTCCTGCTGCTCTTCCTCAGGGAGACACACTCTACAGCAGTGCATGGGATGCAGCTGCGCCGCAGTTCTGTCCCCCTGTCACTGTTGGCATCGCTGGGCTTTGACGTGAAAGCACTCAGTCACAGGATTCTGCATCTGCAGTTGATGCTGACCCCGACAGGTTTTCTGAAATGGTAACAGCTGTGATCAATGGTAACAGCTGAGCAAACCTAGATAATTTGATCAACATTTTAATCATTTCATTATCACTAAGAGTAGCAGAGTTGTTAGTTTTCATGTATATTATCTTACTTTTTAGCCAAACAGCATTCGTTATTATCATCCTAACTTTTATATGTAAAAGTAGAAACTGAGGCAGAGGAAGGGCACGTACCTCTGAAACTTGAATTGTGTGGTCTACAAATCCAGGAATTCTGCCTGTGGCCATCCACAGATGAAACCCAGTCTCCTATAGAGAATATTTTTTCCTGGAAACCAGGTTACTTCACATTTTTTGATGCCTTCAACAAGCAAAGATACCTTTAGTGTCTTATTTTTATTTTCATGGCATTGCTTGGACCTTACAGCTGCTAGACAAGTGCTCTGCCCCTGAGTTACACTTGCAGACGTAGTTACCAAACAAGGTGGCCTCACTTTTTTATATAAATAATCTCTGGGTAAGTGGGTGCTCCTGTCACTGCTCACTAGGTTTGCTGGCAGTGGATGTTGCCTCTAGTGGGTGATAAGTCCTTCCCAGAGAATGCAGCACACAGAGACACAGCAGGAGAGTAAGGGACCCATGATGAGTGTTTCAGAGACCCCGCTGTGCTCAGGGTTCAGCTCCCCCCAGACCCGGTAAGGTCGTCTCTCCTCAGAGATAGCCTGTACCTTGTAGACCTATGCCCACGGCAAGCTTGGCTTTAGTGCTCTGGGGGAGCAAGAAGGCTTCAGAGCTAGCACTGCACACAGCTGCCAAACAGAAATGTCTTCATGTAAAAGAGAAGTACTTTGAGGGTGGGCAGCAAGTTTTTTTGTATAAAGTTCTGAGTAGTAAATATCGGAGGCTTTTCCAGCCAGACTGTCTGTCACGACTTTTTAACTACTGAGATACAAGAACAGCCAAGAGAGTGACCATATTCCAATAAATATGAGCACTGGAATGTGAATTTTGCATAATTTTCATGTGTAAAATTTTTTTTTCAAAAATATAAAAATGCATGGAGGAATCTGACAGGCAAAAGATACTCCCTGGGCTAGGTTTGGCTATACGCTATAGTTTGCCAAATTCTACTTCAGTGTGTTCCATTATTTCCAGTGTGGTACAGCTTCAGAGTGCCAGAGGCCCTCCATACCACTCTGCCTGGCTTTCTAGCCTTAATACCTTTCCTGAGCAAACCTTCAACCTTACTTTCTTTTTAAAAAATTCAGTTGTACAGTTTGTGCTGTGGTTGAATATTTTTATGCCTTCCAAAGTTTATGTTAAATTAATCCTCAGGGCAACAGGATTGGGAGGCATACCCTTTGGGAGGGGATTGACTCAAGAGGTCTCTGCCCTCATGTATGGGATAAGGTACCCAAATGAAAGGGTTCACATGTACTTCCACTCCATGCACTTAGAGAGTATTGTAAATTCAAATTTAGTGTGGGCAATTTAGCAAGATCCTATCTCAAAATAAAAATAGAAAAAGGAACTAGGGATGTATAAAGCTCAGTGTAAAGGGCCTGAGTTCAATCCCCAGGATTACAAAACAAAGGGGTTAGAAGATTGATACTAGGAATTCCTGCCCTGATCTTTTCATCTTCCACATGAGACCTTCCCCAGTCAACCAAACCTGCTGGTGCCTTGAATTTGAATTTCCTAGCTCAGGGCTGCGGTGGGGGTCAGTACCTGTGAGTTCTGGAGCAGCAAAGTCACTGAACCCGAGACAGCTCCTCAGAGCAGGTTCAAAACCCATGAAGACCGAGATTGTCCGTAGTCAGCACTGCCAGCCTGCAGCCTCCTGCCTGCCTTCACCCAGCAGCGTGGCCTCCCCACTGGGGAGTTGGGGCTCAGCTCCAATGTGCTTTGCTCCTGTCTACCTGCTGCCATTTTGAGTTCGGGTCAGATGTCTAAAATCCTTGTTTATTTGTAAAATTCATGGCAGTAATTTTGAAGGGCATAATTAAAAACACAGTAATGTTTTCAAGTCACCTTACACATAGGTGGTAGAAATGAAGATATTACTATTTATGCTGCAGCTGTGCAGTTTAAAAGTCAGTTCTAACAGGAGGCCTTGGCTGTAGCCCAGTGATAGAGCACTTGTCTAGCATGCAAGAAGCTGAGGTTTAACCCTAGCACTACAAAAAGAGAAACGATGTTTTGAAAACCAATTGTGTTCATGTACAGATACAAATTCTCTATGATCATTAGGTCTATCTAAAATGTACCAATTAAATCTGGTTTTTAAAAAAATCATGTTCCACTCCTGTTTCCATTGGGGAAAGGCGGTCCCCAGGGAGATAATTAGACCTCTACTGTGTTGGGTATCTATCAGGTTTCGTGGCAATTGATAATGCTTTTTCTCTGCAGAGTTTTACTTCCCCGTACTGAAACACTGACATGTTTAGGTCAACATTTGTTGTTTATGTTGTTATAATTATTAATGTAAATAGCCTTCGCAGCTGAGCCATGAGATACTTCTATCACCATTTCATTGCCTCCTGATGTAACCTTTTGTTGCCTAATGTTAATATCTTTTCAAATATTTGCCTAATTTTCTATGTACTTAATGTTCAATTCCACATGGGGTTCTTTTTGTTTTGTTTTACGATTTTTCACATTATGTTTTGTTTTCTGACTCCTGGAAAATCCTAGGGGTTGAGCTTTCTTCTTTCTAGACATACAGTATCAGATACTAGCAGAAGCATCCCTCTGCCCAGACCCCCTGCAATCCGGTTTCTCTCCACCCAGGAGTCCATCCCTTTGGGAGGCCCCTGGAGCTGCAGCCCATAGGCAGAAATTAGGGAGCACTCCCCAACACAGTGTTTCACTGGATGCTGCATTTTTATTCAAAAATAGGAGAATTTTGCTGCTTTTTGACTACTGTAATACCACTAATCGCTTGTGAACGTTCATGTTTCTCCAAGAGTCAGTCACTTGCCAGCCCTGCAGTCACTGGAGCTGAGGTCTGCACTATGAGTCACATTAGCTGCTAAGATACGGCCAGAAAAAGAGACTGTGATGTGATAAAGAAGTGACCACAGGACTCACAGCTGGGAAGAAAGCTCACCATACAGGCCTGGGGACTGTGGGGCCACAGTCTGTGTGTTCATGCTGACATCTCTCCGTGCACTTGGCTTCACGCAGGCTGTCTGCCTCTCCATTCTAGTTTTCAAAATCCAGGGAGAGACTGTGGAGGGGAGTCAGCTTGTGGCAGGCCTTTTCCAGATCAGCTGTTTGTGAGGATAGACCTTGGCAAGGGCTGGCCCGAGGGCCACGTCCCTGAGCAGGGCAGCTGCCCTCTGTGCAGCATTAACTCTGCATACCAGGTTATCACTGAACCTGGGCTGCTAGAGTCAGGAGAAAAGGCACACGTGGAAGTCCCCTGGTGACCGAGTGCAGTGTGCAGGCGCCGTGGTGTGGCTGTGCTGCGTCTGGCTTCCCCATCAATCTGCACCTGGCTTCTCTGCTGAAGCCCTGGGTACCCACTGCAGGTGCTGCAGGTTTAGTCTGTGTTGTGAATTCCCCCAGCCCCTTAGAGCTGCCATCAGTGCCCTCAGACTTCAGATGTTCATGGACTCCTGCTGGTCTCCTGCTTGTGTCTGGGACACACCTATCTTTACAGTTCTTGCTATAGGATGAGGTTACGTGCTTGTCTTCTGTAGGTCCCGTGTGCACGGTGCAGCGTGTCACAGAGTAGGCGCACGTGAATGCATGCCCGTTGAGTACCTAAAAACAATATGTGCTTCTTGTCTCCAGGGCACAGAGATCTGGTCCAGCCCTCAGCAGCCTGTTCCTCTGAAAAATTTGGTGACTTACCCTCAGCTGAAACTGGTTGTCACCATAGACACCAAAGGATTGATCAAAATGTGGAAAGCAGAAACTGGATGGGAATTGGCCTCCTTCTGCTTGCCAACCTCCTCTTCTGCAATGGAGCCCTGTGACCATCCAGAGGGCCTCTTCCTGCTGGTGAGTGAGCTGGCTCTCAGGACCCTCTGTAGGGACTGGCCTCCTCCCGGGCCTGGGCACACATGTGACCACCATGCTGGATGGAGGCTGGAGCCAGGTCCCTCCATGGCATGCAGACTCCTTATTCTGTCCTTGGTCTCTGCATGTGGCAGCAGCCTGTCTCTCTGTAGCTTCTCCAGTTGTTACACGGGGAGGTCCAGCCCTGTGCCCTTATTTTGTAGTTTCCTGGGTTTTCTTCATATTGTCCCTCTCTCTCTCTCTCTTTTTGCCTGCAGTTTTTCTGCTCTACTGCATTCTTGCTCTTCAGTCCTTTTTTATTTCTACTTACATATTTTTTTTTTGTGCAATACTGGGAATGAAACCCAGAGCCTTCATACTGATCTACATCCCTAGCACTATATATATATATATATATATATATATAGCACTTTATATATATTTTATATATATGTATATATGTATAAAATATATATAAAGTGCTATATATATATATATATATATATATATATAGAGAGAGAGAGAGAGAGAGAGAGAGACCCCACTAAGTTACCAAATTTGCTCAGGCTGGGCTATAATCCTCCTGCTAGACCTCCCAGAGTGCCAGGACTACAGGTGTTCATACCACACCTGGCTGCTTTTTTATTGTTGTAACCCATCCAAAAAACAAGGCCCCATGATGAAAAACAGGGCAAGACCCCTGAGATGATAAATTGAGCAAGATGTCTTTTGAAAAGAAGCGCTTTTATTTTAGCTGACCCAGCGACACAGTGCAGATGGAATTTGCAAAGCTGTGCAACTGAGTTAGAATTTGATTTTTATAGTGTATTTATGATTAGCTCATTGATCATTAAGTACATAGTGATGAGAAACAGAAACAAGGTTGGCCTTTGTTCATTCCCCTTTGCTTGAGGTCAGAGGCATTTCACAGTGGGTGGTTAGCCAATTCATAGCCCTTGGTCTGCCAATTCCAGGAACATTTGTCTCTCATAAAGGGAACAATGGTTGACACAACATCATTTGTCTCTTACAAGCGGGAACAAAGGTTGACATAGCACACACAGGTTACTTGGGGGGGCAACGTGTAGAGAACAGCGTAACAACATGATCAGTTAATCTATAGCTATGTGGTTGGTGCTTGGTTACTAGGGTAACGAGCTCAGTACAGAACGACAATACTGCTAATAACTATCCTTTTAACTACTTTTGCTAATTATCTTTTAATCAATTATCTTAATTTTTCAGCATCTTAGTATAACACTTATTTTCAAATCCTTGCTAAGGTTTAACTAAAGAAAAACTTACAACTACTTGGTAATATCAGTAGGCTAAAAAAGGAGTGATACTTTGTAGACTAAGCTTGAAGACATGATGGAAATGGAAGTCATGCTCCCATGGCAGGGCGGCCTAGTGGTGAAGCCTTGCACAGCCTGGCTCAGCACCCCACTCATCCACAGGAGGGGGTGGTAGGCCTTCGGAAGCTGATGCAGACAGTTGGGCCGTACATCTCACATTATTTCTGTTTTCAAATGCAGTGTTGAACACATGCTGCAGACTAGGCACAGGAGAGGATGAGACCACATGAGCTGGAACTGCAGGATAAACAGGAGATAGTGTGGAGAGCCATGGGGCTTTAGACATAGACATTAAAATGCCCATGGTTGCCATGTTTGGTGAGGTAAATCTCAGCCTAGAACTTAAGCTATAAGATATGAAACAACAGATTTGGAAAAGAATCAAGTAGAAATTCTAGAAGACTAAACAAAGATTAAGAACTCAGCAAGCAAATTTAATGGCACACAGATGACAGTCGTACAGAGATTGGAGGAGGCCAGAGGTGTTCGTGGGCCACTGGGGCTGTGCTATTTCTTAACTTGGGTGGTGACAAGAATATTTGCTTTGTAATAGTTTGTTGAGGTTTGTGGAGTTTTGTAATATGTTTTACATTTCAACTGAAACATTAGGAATGTAGAAGAGAATTAGAGAACTAGAAGGTTAAAATCAGAAAAGACTATCTAGAACAGTTGTGGTAAACCTCTTGCATGTGTGCCATAGTGGGCTAAAAGTGCTAAAAGTTTCACCATCATTGGTCCAGAATGAACCACCAATACCAGCAGTGGTAAACGAGGAAGCAGGGGAAAGAGAGGAGGACCAGGCTGCGTAGATTTTAGTGGGCACTCGAATCACCTGGAGACCTTGTATGAGGGCAGATATGATTTCATTTGGTCCCCAGGGATGCCTAAGATTCTGGCTCTACTTTTAGGTAATACTGATGCTGCCACCTATCGGCCATATGGGCCCCAAGACTATAAAGGAGCCACAAAGATTTCCAGTTTTTTTCTTTTGTCTTTTTGAGACAGGTTGTTACTGTGTAGGCTAGCCTCGAGCTCACTTTGTAGCCAGGTTGGCCTCAAAATCACAATGATCCTTCTGCCTCAGTCTCCCAAGTGCTAGGATCACAGGCGTGAGCCACTACATCCAGTTCAAAATTTCCAATATTAAACTGTGTCCTAGGAGTAGAGGAAGTGAATGAGGCAGAAGAAATATTTGAAGAGATAATAGTACTTTCCCAGAATAGACTCAGACATTAATTTACAGCATCAGAAAGGTCTGTAACCCTACGCAGAGTAAATAAAAGTAAATTTGTTTGTGGACCCATCATAGTGAATCAGGATAACTGATTAGTAAAACAAAAAAGTTAGTAGCACTGGGCACTGAACTCAGGGCCTCACACGTGTTAGGGGAGTCCTCTGCTACTGAGCTGCAGACGTAAGAAACTTTCATTTTAATGGTGGCCAGAGAAAATAAAACTGCCTTCAAGACTGAATTACCTAACAGCAGCATGGAGACTGCATGACAGAGGACTGGTCTCTTGAAAGACCTGGCTACTTGTTGAGCATTCTGTTAGCAAAAATAGTGTTTTTCAAGAATGAAGGTAGGAACTGGGAGCATGTAGTATGTAGCAGCAGAGCGCTCGTGTAGTATGTATGAGGCGTGGGCTCAATCACAGGACTGCAAGGAATACAAAGGTAAAATAGGCTTTTTAAAGCATAAAAGGGAGACTTTGCAACAGTGCACTTAAAAATAGTAATGGGACTTGAGGTAGAAAAAAAAATCACAAATGAATCTTGGAGGACCAAGAAAGATTGCAAAGCAATAATGGTGAATAGTGACTACAGAAACAGTAACAACATTTTTACACACTTTGTTTGTTTTTGTCTTTTTGAGGCAGGGTCTCACTGTGCAGTTCGGGCTGGTCTTGAACTCTTTGTAGCCCAGGCTGGCCTTGAACCCACATAGTGATCCTCCTGCCTCAGCCTCCTGAGTGGTGGGATTATAGGCATGTGCCACCACGCTTGTCTCTTACACACCTTCAAGTACAATACATTGTCCGGGAAGACTTACATAAATAAATAGTCTAGGATGTGCAAGGCCTTGCTAAGAGAAAGAGATAGGGGGAGGGAGAGGGAGAGGGCACTAACCAAAGGTTCATAGTGTGTAAGAGTATAAAACCTACCTTGTTAAACGAGATGCTGAACCTACCAGGTGAGCAACCACAGAGATTAATAGAATTGGTTTAAGAGAAATAAGTGTTTTTATGCATGACATGTTGAAATACAGATAGATGCGTTCAAGCATTTCTTTCACTGTTAAAAGTTTTAAATATGGACACTGTGGCCTATGACCTGCAGGTCTTGGGATCTCTCTGGGCACAGCGGCAGCCCTTGCCGAGCAGGGTCATGCATGGCGGTCCCTCACGGCTGTGGCCTGTTCACAGTAGCAAACTGGGAAGCACTTTCAATTGCCCTCAGCATGGGAGGAAGTCAGAAGTCAAAAGAAAATGTTATTGTGGAAAGATTTCCAGGGAATGTTTTAGTTTTAGCGCATACAATGCAGATTGCAGAACGCCACCCCAGAGTGACCCAGAGAGCCTCTGCCATTGGTTAGCAAGAGCATTAGAAGGTCATGCTCTGAGGAGTAGTTATGTGTTGGTTGATCGTTGTTTTGCTTTTTGATTTATTTTTTGCGGTGTTGGGGATAGAAGCCAGGGCCTCATGTGTCCTAGACAAAGCTACCACTGAGCTACTCCTTGGCCCCTGCCATGCAATTAAAGTGTCCCAAGGCAGAGCTGAGAGGTAACTGGCACAAGCACCCTGGAGGGAAGCAGGGAAGCAGCTGTCTCCTCCTTCGGGTGAGGACCCAGCCCAGTGACCCTCACGTGGGTCGGGGTTCCTCCTCTTCTCAGGCAGCCTGTGTTAATGGGATCCTTTACACCCTGAGCGTGCCGCAGCTGCAGGTGGTCTCCACGGTAGTCGTGTTTTCTAACACCTTCGGAAGTCTCCTCTGCTCACCTGACCAGCAGTGGGTGTTCGTGTCTGCACAGGACTCGGGTGTGCGCCCAAAGGTCAGTGTCCATGGGTCCCTTTCTCCTGGTTTTGTGAGAGGAGGATGCAGGATCTGGAGCCCTGCGGCTGTGGGTTGTATGTTCTGGAGCTGCTGCTTGCCTAGGCCCAGCCCTGCAGCTGGCGGGAGCACGTCCTGGTCACTTGGAGAGCTGTGCTCTGGTTCTCCCGAGGAGGCTCAGAAGTCATTTGTGAACAGATTTGGGTCATGATGGTGGGAACAGTCAAGAGCCAGCTGACTGGAGGGATGAGGACCAAGGTGAGAGCGAGAGCAAGAGGAGCAAGGGAGGAGAAGCCGCTGAGGAAGGGCATCTGGGCCTGAGTAGCAGCCTCCCGCGTCAGACTTGTGTGTGACCAGCACCCTGTCCGCGGCCTCTTGCTGCCCTGTGTGTCACAGAGTCCCGGTCAGTCATGGGCACGGGGAGGAACAGGCATTTGTGGGAAACTGAGCACTTTGAGTGCCAAGTCTGACCCGGTAAACAGGAGTTTGGTGAAAAACAGACAGCTAGGACTGCTCTTGTGGAGGAGGAAGGACTGGTCAAGAACCAGTGCTGCCACAAGCAGGAGGCACTGGGAGCCAAGGAGGCAAGTGCTCGGGGAAGACAGGCAGGTGCAGGAGGGCATGGGAGGGGCTGCCAGGACCCCAAGGAAGGAGGGGTGATGGGGCTGGGGCGGGCAGCAGATGGGAAAAACGATGTGGGAAGATAGTTGAGGCGCCTGTCAGTGCCCGCAGCTATTCTAGTCAAACGCCTGTCCTGTGGCTTATGTCTGGCAGCAGCCTCACTGGAGCACTTCCAGGGCACCAAATGCAAGCTGAGCTCAAGCTTAAGCCCGTGCCATGGTACAGACTGCCTGGCTGGGCCACGTGGCTGATGTGGGTCTGCAGCACAAGAATCAGGTGGGACCAGGGGCTTTCTGAGTGCTCAGGGTAGAGAAGCCCCTGCTCACCTTCACTGTGACCGTGCAGGGCTGTTTCTCCAGGTGTTCTACACTCAGTCCTTGCTGTGCCCATCAGAAGATGAGCCTCCTGTCTCCACTACCCTCCCTCTCTGGATGTGTTCCCAAGCCTGCTGGGCACCTGATGAAGCGGCTAGGCTGATTGTGGTGCACAAAAATGAAGATGATGACATGCAGTTGGTTGTTACTACCTTTGAGTTAAGGAGCAAGAAGTCATCCAAGCACAGAGTGGACATCCTGGGTAAGGGTCCCCATGCTGGCCCAGGTCTCTGTGTACTGCCATTGCAGCTGCTGGACAGCTCCTTTGGCACTTTGCTTCCTTGCCAGTGGAATAGTGATATAGAGGAGGTTTCGAGTTTCTGGACTGGTAGAGTGATTGACAGGCCACAGTGGGGCCCCTCCATGGCCCTGAGATTCAGGCATTAAATGCCACTCCCTGCAAGGCAATCTTCCTGCTCCATTCGGTCCTCGCCCCCCGACCATTTCAAAGGCCCTGCTGTTAGCATGGAGCTCACAGAAAGATGAATAAAAGCCAGAGCTTTTTTCCCCCATGGTGCTACCAGTCCCACAGCCTCCCCACTGTCTCCTCTGTTTCCTAACCCTGCGTCACTCTGGCTGCTTCCTGCCCTTGGCATTTTCTCCTTTACATCACATTCATTTATTTTTATATCATTCTGCTATACATTTTTTACTGAGCTTCAGGGGTCTTGATGAAAAAAGGAATGAAATGTATAATGTACACCTTCTCAGATCATGAGAAAGCACACAAATTCTTCATAAGAGGTGATGTTTTTTCTAGAAAAAACAGAATGCTATGTAGTGTAGAAGACAGCATGTTTAACAATAGGTTTTGGCCAAAGTCATAAATGTCACATGGCTGTCATGTCATTTCTTCTGTCACGTTGTCTTAGATAGGAGAGGGAAGAAAGAAACCACTCCCTGAATGGTCCCATGAACCAGACACTGCGATCGTCATACAGATGCAGGGTGCTGCGTTGTCAGCACCCTGGAGTGTGGCGGGGTGACCGCGTTTTGGTGCTGATGAGCTGGAGACTTAGGGCCGTGAATGTGTGTGTGTGAGGACTGAGCACAGGGCACAGCGCACTGGTGTTCCTCCTTTCAGTGTCCCACATAGTCTTAGGCTGGGCAGAGATCTGCTCTAGAGAAGCCCACCTGTGTGTTTTATTTCCCAAAGTACAACAGGTGGCCAGTTTCTTGCCGGACACCTTGATGTCACCTCACCTCATGCAGGGCTACGGCTCTCAGGTGATCCTGCTGACTTCTGGGTTGGAGCTGATGCTGTTCACCATCCATGGCCTGCAGCTGGTCGCCTTCCAGGACCACCAGAAGCCCATCACGTCCATGAGGGTGGTGAGTGCACACCCACCCTGCCCATGGCATACTCCGCCTCCTGGGGGCCACATCCACACCTCACTTGACTTCATTTCAAGGACCTCGACCGAGTCATCACCTCCTCCATGGACCTCTCCTTGTGTGTCTACGTGTGGAATAAGGAAAATAAATTCCCAGTTCTCAAGAGCTGCTATCACTTGCTTGGAGGATCCCACAAATGGGCCAGGTAAGTGGCTGTTTTCCTTTACTTTGCCTGTAAAATGGTCTTAGATGGCCTCAAAAGTGGTGTTTGGTTTGGTTTTGGTTTTTTGAGACTCAGCCTTGCAGTGTAGCTGCCCTTGAACTCACTGTGTCGTCCAGCCTGGCCTCAAAGTCATGGTGACCCTCTTGCCAAAGCCTTCCAAGTACTGGGATTCCAGGTACATGCCACCATGCCCAGCTCATTTTGTTTTGTTTTGTAGCGGAGGTCTCACTATATTGTTCAGGCTGGTCTCAAACTCCTGTGCTCAAATGATCATCATACCTCATTCTCCTGAGTAGCTGGAACTACAGGCACACCTAAAAATGGTTTTCCAGAAAGAAATATTGGAAAGGATGTTAGTGAGACTTAAATTTTTAAACTTGGGCTGGGGATATTGTTCAGTGACATAGTGCCTACCTAACAAGCACAAGGTTGTGAGTTCAATTCCTGACACCCCCCAAATAAATAAAATAAGTTGTAAACTCATTTATCCCTCACCAACTAGGGCTGAGGGCCATCTGCTATGTCAAGATTTCCTCTTATGTGGAAAAAAATCCTCTTTGTTAGGTGGACGTAGTAGTGCCTGTCTGTAATCCCAGCACTCAGGAGGCCGAGGCAGAAGGATCTCAGTGAATTTGAGGGCATCCTGAAATATGTAGCAAATCCTGAAATATACAGATCCCTCCCTCTTCAGAAAACAAACAAGCAAAAATCTACATTGTTAGCTATGCTTTGCATTTTACACATAATTTCCTGTGCTGTACAAAACCACTAATGGACTTGTTTTACACATGAAACAGATGGACAGATACGGACATTTGGCCAGTGTCCCACAGAGGAGGCTTTAACTTTGTAGGAAATGGCTGTACCCAAGAGCTTTCGAGGTTATAGCTGTTTCATTAAAGAGAGTGGTGAGACTGACTCGGAATTGTCAGGTTAATTCTAAATCCTGAGGAAGTTACTCAGACTTTCCTGGATTAAATTAGAAGCTCCTCTTTTGTTTTTGTTTTTGTTTTTTAATTTTGTGCACAGCGAACCATTCATTTCTTTTGGAGAAACAAGCAATCGAACAAATTTCCTTTTAGAGCAAATGGGCAGTTGAATTTCCATGGTTTAAATAGTTTTCTGTTCAATTTAAAAATGCTAAACAGTAAAATTATAGGAAAATTATATAAAAAGCACATTTGCAACAGGTGCAATTACTTAAGTTAGGAACCTTCTGTCAGAAATTTTTAGAGTAGTTGGAATCATTATGATTAAGACAGCCCCAAATGTCAAGGAGCGCCCCAAAATGATTTTCCCACTTAATAACCTGGGGCATCGCAGTGGGTTAAATATACACATATCATACTTTTCTGATGTAGATTTGTGCATTAACATTATAGTAGCCAGCTATGCCTCTCTGGAGGCTAAAGGAGCAGTCATTGTGTTTATTAGTCACTTGGTACTGGGAATGCCAAGGTATGTGCGTATGTGCAAAAGTGTCCAACTTTTACCCCACATAATGCTCCCTGTAACATTTTTGCATGTTTCCCTGGGCATCATGGGTAGAGGAGTAAAATACACCCACACCATTCTGCTTTGTAAACATGTACTTTACCCTAATGGGATCAGGCTGTGGCTTGTAGTAGCTAGGCTTGGGAAAACCAGAAACCCATCTGTGCCTTCAGACCTTTGGCAAATGAACTGCAAAGTACATTCAGGTGCTCCAGAGTCACGGTAGGTGAGTTTCACCCATGAAACCCTCATTGCTCTGTGCATTTAGAATTTGTTCTAAAAATGAATTCTCCTAGATTAAAACAAACACTAAATCTGCTGGATGACAGAACAGGTAGAACTCTTGAAGACATTGGTGTAGGCAGAGACTTTATGAGCAAAAAGCAAAACCCACTGCAAAGAATCCAAAACTGGGCTATCATCTTATTAAAAAGCTTCTGCACAGCAAAAGAAACCACTAACAGTGGGAAAAATTGTTTGCCAGCTGTCCTTCAGACAAAGGACTAGTACCTAGAATAGATAAAAAGTCAAGAAAAAAATCAGAACCCCAAATTTAAAGACCCAATCCAAAAATGGCTATCTAAAATGAATAGACAATTTTCAGATGAAGTAGAAATGATAAATAAATAAATGAAAATTTTGAGATATGCAAATTAAAACAATGCTGAGTTTCCATCTCCAGAAAGAATGAAAGTTATCAAGAAATCAGCCAACAGCAAATGGTGGCAGAGCTGTGCAGGAAAAGGAACCCTTTGTCCACTCTTGGTGGGAGTGTAGACTGGTGTAAGCACTGTGGAAATCAGTGTGGAGATTCCTCAGAAAATTAAAACTAGAGGTTCCATTTGATCCAGTTATTCCCTTGCTTGGTATCTTCCTGATAGAATTAAAAGTGTTATATCACAGCAAAATGTGCACACCTGTTTATGACAGCACAGTTATTAATAGCTAAGTCTTGGAAACAGCCCAAATGCCCATCACTGATGAATGGATAAAGAAAATGTAGTTTTTTAATATCATGGAATACTACTCTTCCATAAAGAAGGATAATCTTGAGCCATTTCTAGATAAATGGATGCGCCTTAAGAACGTGCTCTTAAGTAAAGTGAATCAGACACACACGTCAATACTGCGTGGTTACTCTGGTATGAGAAACTGAAAGTGTAAAGGATCAGAATGTGTAATAGATATTGGGAAGTGGAAAGAAAATTTTCAAATGAGAAAGGGAATAAGTGGGGGGAGAGGGGAAGGAACAAAGGGACAAAAAATAGGAAAAAAGATGGAAGCAAAGCTTTCGTAAATGAGGAGGGGAAGGGAGGAAAAGGAAAGGGAGAAAAAGAAGAATCAAGATACATGGTGTAGCTGAGTGTGGAGTAAAGGCACAGGTCTGTAACCCCAGCACTCGGAGAGGTTGAGGTAGGGAGATCACTGAGCTTGAGGCCAGCCTGAACTACAGTGAGACTTTGTCTCAAAACAAAAACACATTATAAAAATACATTCCCTGGCAGACGTGAAGACATGCTTTTCAATTTAGAAATTTGTCTTGGAACTCAGGAACCAGGTCTTTAATTGTATAGTAATAAACCACATGGTGCTGTGAACAGACTTGTTGCTCTTATGTCCCAAACTAATCAGAACAAGTGGCATTCGACAACTGGTTTACCAACTTCCAGTTGATGTTACCTTTGCTAGCACAGCATAAATTGACCAGCATAGACACTGCATGCAAGAACCAAGCAGAAACTCCCAATGAAATGTTGCAATTTCAAAACAGAATCGTATAGTACAATCTTTGGATTTCAGAAAGATACAGCATTGGCCTTTTGTATGGTAAAGAAAAACAAATGGTACTTCTGATGTCAACACTGCACCATGATGGAAAAGTTGACAGAAAAATATTGACGGAACTGAAGCCTGAGACAGTAACTATTTTTTTGTTTTGTTTTGTTTTTGTCTTTTTCCTTTTTATTGGTACGGGGGATCAAACTCACGACTGCCTGCTTGCAAGGCAGGCGCTTATGCTGCTGAGCTAAATCTCCAGCCCCTGAGACAGTAACTTTTTACAACAAACCAACGTGGAATAGATATTGATGATGACGTATGCAGCAGTGATGTCATTTGAAACACAAAACATTAGCGAGTAGTTGTGTTTTAACTCAATCCTAAACATGTATAGCGTAAATAGTTTGATAGCATACAAAGAAAATACCAAGAGCAAAATACCACAGAGAAATTTTCTTAGAGGATTGGGACTCATAAAAGATCATTTACAACAGAGGAAGAATAAAATGTTTCTGCCCGGGTGCACTGACAGGTGAACAGGCAGGTGCAACATCAGAGACCTGTTACAACAACAGGAAAATCAAAAAGATATCAACAGTGCCCTCCACAAAATGACAGGAAAGGAAAAGAAAACATATATGTTGTCAGTGTAAGTGATACTTGTGCATGGAACATGCAGTTTGCATGTGTGAAGACTGCCTTGGTTGTGACAGTTGAAACAGATTATTTTTGTTGTAGAGTTGTATTGATACTTTCATTGTAGTTTAGGAATGTGTTTCTGATGTTATCTTTTAGGTTTTGTAAGCAAGTACACAGCTGATGTGAACACTGATGTTCATTCTGAACATGCAATACATACTAAGGATTTTTTATTGATACTTTATGTTTTCTCACTAACTACAGATTGTATAATATGATAAGAACCTCCTAACAGAACAGCACGGACGAGTGATACATGTGTATGGAATGTGCTGTTGTTATGTGTGAAGACTGCCTTAGATGTGATAATTGAAGTAAAGATTATTTTTGTTGTAGAGTTCTTGTCTTTTTTGAGACAGTCTCTTTATGCAGTTCAGGCTGGCTTTGAGCTCACTTTGTAACCCAGGCTGGTCTCGAACCTGCCACCATCCTCCTGCCTCAGCTTGTTGTTGAGTTCTATTGATATTATTTTGTTGTTGTTGGCTTTTTGAGAGAGTGTTTCACTATGCAGTTCAGGCTGACCTTTGCAGAGCTCACTTTGCAGCCCAGGCTGGCCTTGAACTTGCAGCAGTCCTTCTGCCTCAGCTTCCCAAGTACTGGGATTACAGGCCTGTGTCATCATACCTGGCTTCTATTGGTATTTTCATTGTAGTTCATATAGGGATTTATTTCTGTTGTTAATTTTTAGATTTTGTAAACCAGAGAACAGTTGATGATGAAAATTTTGATGCTTTTTTATAAATGCTCAAAAAATACTAAAAATTTTTTACTTTTTAAAAAACATCTTCCTGTTAAATACTCACTATTTAATAAGTTATAAGATTAATAGTTCATCAATAGAAATATTCTAAACAATAAATGTGTGTATTGTATACCCATCATGATGCTCCTTTAACATAAAGTTGACATGCTGCCCTGGGATGTTTTTTTTTTTTTTTCTTTTTTTGTCTTTTCCTTTTTATCGATACCGGGGATCGAACTCACGACTGCTTGCTTACAAGGCAGGCACTTATGCCGCTGAACTAAATCCCCAGCCCCCGATATTTTTCTTTATGAGACAGGGTTTTGCTGTGTAGTTCAGGCTCACATTGAACTCACGTTGTAGCCCAGGCTGGCGTCACATTCACAGCAATCCTCCTGCTCACCCTCCCATGTGCTGGAATTACAGCCATGTGCCACCATGCCCAGCTAAGAATGTGGTGTTTTTCAACTGTGACAGATGAATTTGGGTCCTCAATGCCTAGGGGAAATGAGAGATGTAAACAAGGCCAGTAGTGTTGACTTGATGGGAGAAGGTATAGAAGGCTGAGTTCTGTCTTCATCTAAAAGCTGTATTCCTGTTTCCGGAGGCCCTGCTAGGGATCTTCATGTATAAGCTTTTACTACTGAAATGTTTGTCTCTTTTCTAAGATTGATACCTCGCATTGAGGTGGGTATCTCAGATTGATACCTTCTCTTTTCTTTGCAGTGGGTTTACCCATGTGGAAAGTGACAGCACAAATATTGTTGGCGTGGAAGCCAGAAGCAATGGAACAAGCATTCTGAGGTCATATTGCTTCAAAATTCAGCATGGCTAAAGATCACCCCAGTTGGAGATACTTTTACTTTGGTAGAGCTTGTATACATACAAAGACTAAATTGACTGTGACCAGCATTGGGAAAGGAATGAATAGTTCTCAGATGGCCACTCTGTAACAGGCACACCGTGTTCTATAACTTTGCTTAAACCCTCACAAGCCAGTGAAGTAGAGATATTGTTATCTATTCTTAAAACAAGGAAAATAAAATTTAAAAGAGTAATTAGTCATTATTAGCCTACTTTTCAACTGCTAAGCAATCTGCCCAAGATTTTTCAGATCGTAGGTAGCAGTCAAGTTGAATATAAGTCTGAGGAGACTAGAAAGCCCATGCTTAAGGCAGTAAAATTATAACGTAATTATTTTCTGTTATGGTTTATGTTTAGATGTCTCCCAAAAGCTTCATGCTTTCATAGATGGGGCTTTTAACAGGTGATTGAATCACAGGGTTCTATATCTACATGTGATGTTAGGAAGGGGCCTGATTGGAAGAAAGGTCGCTGGGGGCTTGATCTGGCAAGGATGTCTGCCTCCCAGGTTCCTTTGTTTGTTCACTGCTTCCGAGTTGCCATGAGGTGAGTAGCTTTTCCTCCATTGTCCCCTTCTGCCTTTTCATTCTTCCCTGGGGCCAGCTGACCATGGACTGTAACCTTGAGCCAAAATGAACCTCTCCTTCTTTAAGTTGCATGGGTCAGGTATTTTGTCTGAATGACAAAGTAAGTGATTAAGACATTTTTGTTATTCAAACATGCAATTAAATAAAGATCATATTATTTAGTTCTTGCTGTCCAATAGATAAATTTTGTGCTGCCATTTTGCATGGCTCTGTAACTGCCATCTTTTATTTTATATTGTTGGTTCCCCCTGTAATGAGTCACTAAGAAAGGCTGAATCAGGAAACATATCACTCAAGAGTTCGTAATTGCAAGCAATAAGCGTTGACACTGACTAAAACTAAAAAGGGGATTTATTGGAATGAAAGATCGGCATTACTTAATACTCTTCTGGGCTTAGCAAGAAGTTGCAAGTCACAGTAAAGTTATAGGTACATGAATCTGTAATGGAGAATATTATATAATCTATTTGTAGAAAATTGTGTTAAATATTTATTTCAGTAAAATTAATAATCATGTTGATAATGACTACCCATCTCCCCCAATAGAATCAACAGGTAAACATTTATTTACCCATACACTACTGGATGGTACTGTTTTGTAACACAAAGAACTATAGGGTGATTTATGATTAAAAACTTGAGAAGTCTTGCAGTAGTTCCAGTTGCTAAGGAGGCTGAGGCAGGAGCATGACTTTTTTTTGGTACCAGGGACCGGATTCATGTCCTCACACTCGCCAGGCAGGCACTTATGCTGCTGAGCTAAATCCCCAGCCCAGGAGCATGACTTTTTGAGCCCATGAGTTAAAGACCAGCCTGGCAATATAATGATGTTAGATCCGACAAGTAACTTATGCAGTGCTTTGGATCCTTAGATTTTTTTATTGTTTAACTTTTCTGAATTTAGGTATCTTCATGAATGATTCTGACAGGACTTCTAGTAAGACTCATCTGGCTTGGAATGACTTCATAAACTTTTTTTGGCAGCACTGGAGATTGAACCCATGGGTGCTCTACCCCTGGGTTACATCCCTAATTCCATTCTTTCATTTGCAGACAGAATTCCACTAAGTTGCTCAGGCTGGCCTCAAATATACAGTCCTCCTGCATTAGACTCTTTAGTAGCTGAAATTACAGGCAGCTCAGCTGAGCCCAGCAATAATGATAAACATTGATTAAGAATTTTAGGATGTATTATAGACAGATTTATGGCTTAATAATTTCATTAAGTCATTAAAGCAACTCTGAGATGGGTACTGTTGTTTTCTCTGATAGCACTGCTCTAAGGCCTGCTGTGAGCCTCCAGGGTAGAGCCAGCTCCCTGGAATCCCAGAAATGATTATTCTGAGAAACAGAAAAATGAGAAGCAAAGTTTTCTATTCTGAGAAATAGAAAAATGAGAACAAAGTTGACCTCCCACTCTAACTGTAACACCACTCCAAAATTATAGTCAAGATTTAGCATGTCAGGCTCTGCAGAATAATTGGCTTGAGGAGGTGTGTGTGGCTGGGACTTGGGGAAGCCTGATGAGAATCTGAGTGAGTGTGGGGCTAAGGAATACTTACCTAACAAGCTCCTTAGATTTGTTAGCATTATTCTGCGTATTTTTGCATTGCCTAGAAATGAACACTTTTAACTATTTTGGAATATGCTTTCTGTTTTACTTGTCGCTGGGACAAAATACCCAGTACCACAACTTAAAGGAGGAGAAGTTTACTTTAGCTCAAAACAGTTTATTAGGTTTCAGTCTATGGTTGCCTGGCTGCATGTCAGGGCAGCATACAGAAGGGCATTGCAGAGGAGAAACAGCCCATGGCAGGGCAGGCAGGCTGCGGCAGCAGCAGCGAGCTGTCTTCTTTCTTTCCCTTTATATTCCATCCAGGCTACAAACCTATTGATTGGTGCCACCCACACCCAAAGTGGGCCTTCCTACTATCCATACCCAGAACTGCTAGACCAGTCCAGTAAGATATGCCCTTGATGCATTCACCTCCCAAACGTCCCACCTATGAGTGGGTGAGGCTTTGAGGAGACATTTAGATAGAAGCCATAACACTTCCTCTTCTAACTAATTTCCTATTGTATCATTTCCTTCAGACTTACATGTGGTTAAGTTTACATCCTTATCAACATACAACTCCAAGAGAAAAATTATGTGGAGTATAGAGTTCCCCTCTACCCCACAGTCAGTGTCTGTATTCAACCTGTTATTCTAATGTGTATGGCTGTTTGGGTGGTGCCAGCTTGATTGATTTGGTTTGGGAGGCCCAGGAGATTGGCAGAGCACATTTTCAGGTGTGTCTGGTGGGTCGTGGAGATGTGGTCTGGTCTGTCTGGGGTCTCACTCCTTCCTCTGGGGTGCATCGTTCCCCTGCTCTGCCTAGCTGCTGCCAGGCCCTAGCTCTGCCGAGCTCTCCTGCCCTTGTGTTTCTGCCTTGGAGACAACTGGCCACAGACACATTACCTTAAATCAGGAGCTGAATTAAATCTTTTTTAAAGTTATGGACGTCAGATATTGTGTTTCAGCATTGCTAAAGAATACTTCCTCCACCATCTGCCTTTTTTGGTAGTAGTTCAACTGTTTAATCATAGATACGACATTACTCTTAAGTATAAGGTGAATAAAGGGAGTTTAGAATTCCTTAGGCTTTTCTTAACTGTGACATTTTTTTCACAACTTCCTTGTTTTTTCTGACCTTGAAAGTTTTGAGTAGGGCTTTTGTAGCATGTCCCTTAATGTTTAATTTTTCTGGGGTTTTCTTTCCTGGTTAGGTAGAGACTGTAAGATGTGGGAAAGAAGACACACATCCCTGGTACAGACCATTCAGGTGACTCCTCTTCACCACCTGGCTGAGGTCCCCTTTCTTAGGTTTCTCTCCTGCAGTGATGGCGAACCTGTTAGAGCTGTCAGTAGAAACACATAGCCTGCTGCAGCACGCGTGCCATAGGTTCGCCACCACTGCTACTGCCCTTCCCTTGTTCTCCCTTCCTTCCTCCCTCCTTTTCTTTTCCCTTCCCCTTTCACTTTCTCTTTCTCTTTTTTCCCTCTCTCTTTCACTTTCTGTGTTTCTCCATCTCTCTTTGTCTCTTCCCTGACTCTTTTTTTCCTTTTTGTTGCTGGGAATACAACTCAAGGCCCTGCACATGCCAGCACGCCTGCAAGCTACATTGTCATCCTAATATATTTTTCACTCCTTTCTGTACTGTACACTTGAAACTAATATGGTGTGTTGAGGCATACTTCAGAAATAGTGTGATGTGTTCTGCCTTCTGAGTGTGAAATCTGCATGAATTGTCTGGAATTCTCCTGCACAGGATGCTTTCTACTGTTATCCATATATTCTTTTATTAAACCATTTATTTATATTGGTATGAACTTATGAATCTTTATTTTATGCTATTGGTAATTCAGCATTATTTATTTTCGTAGTCTTGGTATCTTATTATAGTTTTGATTGGCCTTCTCCTGACGCTAATGAGAAAATGATATAATTCAAAATACTGGACTGTTTTGTGAAAAACACTAGATTGGTTTGTGAAAGGATGTGGGTGTTTCTGTGTCTGTGTGTGTACATACACAGTAGTCCTTAAAACCACCTTGTGCAGTTAAGAATATAAATGCTGTACACTTATGAAAATATCACTATAAAGTTTCGGCATCAGCCAGAGCTCCACTGGATTAGACAGCCAGGTAACACCCATAATCCAGGGAGGACGAATACAAAATAGACTCTGGTCTGTCTCTGAGAGGCTAGGCAGGTGGGGTCCACAAGGCCCAGGAGGGTGCAGCACCCACTGTACTAGAGAGTTAGAAATGGGGAGGGTTGTGGCTGGGCCCCTTATCCCCGCCCCTCCCCAGCCCAGGAGCCCTTTGTGATGAGGAGGCCACAGCTCTGTGATGCAAGCCTGGGACCCCTCCCTGCTTCCAGACAGAACTCTCAGGGCTCAGTTGCCTGAGAACAACACTGCGATTCAGATGATGGAGAACCTTCTCACTCCTCTGAAAAGCCTTAGCGCCACGTGGCTGAGCCCCAGCTCCACCACCTTTGCCATAGACATGGTCCTCGCCTTTGTGTGTGGAGTGGGGCTGTACCTCCTGTTACTGCCCTGGCTCCCGGGTGAACCATCCTTGCCACCATCCAGGAGAACTAGAACCATCAGAAAGGTGAGAAACCCACAGCTCAGACCCAGCACAGAACGATTCACTCTCCTCCTACCAGTTTCCGCTTTCCCACATCAAGGGGACAGAGACTGTGGAGAGAGGAGACCTCTGGAAAGAACAGAACATCCTTCCCTGGGGATAGGTGGGCAGGCAGGGGACATGGCCACCAGGACTCTGTCTGCTGCTCTCAGACCTCTGTGATTTGCTGGCAGTGCCAGAGCAAACAGAACATGGGGACTCGGTGGATGGGGACTGGATTCTGAGAGGAGGGAGCCCAGGGGAGGGACCAGGCCCTCGCACTGGTACACGTCCCTGTCTCATGGCAGACGCCTCCAGGCCCAGCCTTTGCTCTGTGTGGGGTAGATCTGAGGTCTGTGCCAATGGCTTGAGCGAGTCCAGTCCCATCCCAGGCTGTAGCCACCATGGTCTCTGATGCTGTAGAGATGAGGTTGTCTTGAGTGCAGGGGATCAATGACCACTTATGGGGATCTCAGGTTAGAAAGTCTTTGTATGTTTCCAAAAGAAACACAGTAAAATAGTGCCTTGATTTAGCTCATGAATGCTGAACATTAACAGCCTGAGAGAGAGGAGAACAGGGCCTGGGCCCCTCACGACTTTCCCTCTTTCTCAGCGTCCAGTGTGGATGAGGTGGAGGAGCAGGAGCAGGAAGAGGACGGGCGCTCTCAGAGGTGAGGCTCTGCCTGCGGCCCCAAACCCAGCATGACCTGGTCCCCTGCGACCAAGGCTGGGACTCCCAGGATGTAGAGGAGGTTCATGGGAAGACAGTCATCAAAGGGATGCTTGTCAGGCTCCCTGTTCAGGAGCAAACTGTGCTGGGCCAAAGGAAGGTGTCACCCACTTGGGGCAATTCAGGTAATCGTGGGGCCAATACAGCCAGTGTCAGCCTGGGCCCTGGGACCTTGGACACTGAAGCTTGGGCTCCAGAGCCTAGTGTCACACGGTCTCTTCCAAGGGGATGTTCCCTTCAGGCTCCTATAAATCCCCAATCTCTTCTCTGGCTTTAGCCCTTGTAATCCAGGCTTCTAATTCCCTTTGTAGACTGCCGGAAACGCCTGGAGGAGACCTGCAACATGATTTCTGTTCCAGAAAGGTAAAGAACTCACTCTTTTCTCCAGTCTCCTTCCTATGGAGACCCCAGGGTCACCAAGCAGCTTCCATCTGAACTGGGAGGGGGAGATCCTGGGACAAGGGGATGTGAGAGCCCTCGGACAAAGGGCAGAAGAGAACTTCGAGGTCCTCATGGCAGGCAGTGGAGGGCCATGGCCCTCACCTGCCTGCCCTGCCTCAGACCCTCTTCTGACTGCAGCTGCGCCTCCTATTTCTTACAGCCTCCTGAGGATGCTCCCTGATGAAGACCTCGCTGCTGCTGTGTGCACAAGTCCACCTGCCACAGCCCCGCAGTCACATGGGAAGGACGTGCACACCGCCGCTCTGTCCTCAGTAGAGGCTTCCCCCTCCCCTCTCACTCGGAACCTTCTGCCTCTGGCCTCCTCTCCATCGTCAGGCTGGTCCACAACCTCCTCGGATCTTGAGTGTTCACCCACAGCCCTTACTTCCTCCCAGCCCCCGGAACCCCTGCTTCTGCTGGACAGAATTTCACCTCAGCCACTTCCACTCTCCCTCCCCCCACCATGTCCCCTCAAATCTACCACAACCCCCCAACCCTGGTGGGACACTACAGAGAAGCCAAATCAGCAGCTCGGTCCTCATCAACTCTCACATCCCAAGATCCCAGGGCTCCACTTTGAGAAGAAATGGAACCAGCTGTTCTGGGGTCTGCCCTCTCTGCACAGCGAATCCTTAGTGGCTGCGGCCTGGGTTTCCCCAAATACTGCTGTTCCCCACTTTCAATCCTCCTCATTTAACAAAACCTCACATTTTCACCCAACTCACCGGCAGGAGAAAATGTCACTGGTGCTTCCTCAGGCCCAGGCCCCCTCCTATCTGGAGCCCCGATCCCCAGCCCAATTCCAGCCCCCACTTCTGGGTTATGCCCTGACTCAGACTCACCCACGGTCCTCTCCTCCAGTCCTGTTATCACCTCCTGTGTCCCACAGCAGGGACTGTGGATCAGCCTGCTCTGCACCCCATAGCACCCCACAGTCGATGGTTCCAACTGAAATTCACCCGGGATGGCCCTTGTCCACGAAACAATTGGAGCATGGGGGAGCTGTGCACTCAGAAGTCCAAAGTGCTCAGGAGGGCGACAGCCACCCCACTTCCAGCCTTCACCAAAGCAAGTGTGCTGCTGCCACCCTTCCTGGGACTTTTTTGCTCAGCCCTGAGGTCCAGGCACAGCTGGAGCAGCACATTCAAAGGTGGATCACTGAACACAGTGGAGACCTGGCCAGCAGAACCCAGGGGTCTGCAGGACTCACCCAGCCTCCAAGTGACTTGACTCTTTCCTGGGAGGCAAAGGACAAGGCTGGGCCCTCCCATCTGCCCCTGTCTACAGCTGAAAGCAGCCAGGATGGGCAGATGAGGTTCCAGCCAAGCACAAACCCGGTCAGGAATCTGGGGCATATTCTAGGCAATGTCCCAAAAGATCTGTCCAGGGCCTCAGGAAGCTACCCCGACAAGGATCCGTGGGTGCCCTCTGAGGCGTCAGAGAGAACCCTGATGGCGCCCAGGGAGAGAGACACTGGTAATGACTCCCCAGGAAGTGCAGACAGGGAGGATGTGCTGAAAGTGCACTTGGGCACAAAGACCAGGCAGATCCACCAGGGGCTGATCCCCCTGAGAGTGCGCCTGTCCTGGCTCAGTGTCCACGGTGCCTTTTCCACCTCTGACACCCACTTGGGGACCAGAAAGGCCACATCTTCCAGGGCTCGGGAAACGTGTATGAGTCCCACCCAGAAGTTTTCCTTCTGGAACCCAAGCTTGCTGCAAGACCTAGAGACACACCTCACCAGGTTTAGGGTGAAGCGCAGGTGGGCTCTCCCCATCAAGCTCCTCAAGGCCACAAACCTCTTCAAGGCCACAAAGGCGCCATCCTTATCCTTGCCACAGTTTTCCCCGCCCTCCTCCTCTTCTGGGGCTTCTGGGGCAGACTTGATCCTTGAGGATGCCAAGTTCCTGCGGGAACCACCTGAAGCATATACTAAGGAGGAGGCCAGGGTCAGGGAGTCTGCCCCTCCACTGGGCAGTCTCCTTGTGTCCTCTCTTGCACGTCAAGAGACCAAGCCAAACCCAACAGGTGTCTCACTTGGTGACAGTCTGGAGTCCTCAGAGGGCCCCCCCACTAGACAGGACAGCATGAGTCCCTCACAGCAACTCACATACAGCCTCAGGGGCACAACCCATGACAGCAGGACTGTCCAAATGGCCAGCAGGGCTGACCCAACAATCCCCTCATTTCCTGGAACATATGTTGCCCAGGATGCAGGAGGGCCAGGCCATTGTGCAGACACCATGAGGACATTTCAGCACACAGAGGTGAAGTCAGTGAACAGTTCTCAAGAGTGTGTCTTGGGGTTCCAGCTTCCAGAAAGACTGGTATTTGTGGCACCTTGGTGCCATCACCACTGTAGGCCCCTAGGCGAGGTACTTGCTTCTCAGAGGTTAGGTGACCTAATGGCACAGAGAGGGAGCAGCCTGGGCCAGCAGAATCCCAAGGTCCTGATGCACCAGCACTCACAGAAGAGCCACGGCAGGATGTTTGCCCCCACTTAAAAGCAGGAGTTCAGCAGGGGGACCGGCCCAGGGAAACATGAAGACAGGCTGGGAGGCTTGACTTCCCAGGGTTGGGGAAATCAAGGCACCCTGGAGAGTAAGCACCCTCAGGATCTCCCACAGAAGCAGCCAGTGCCTTCAGAAGGCTGCTTCCAAAGAAGCCTGAAGAAATCTCTGCAGTGGTTTTTACCCACAAACAAAATGAAAGGGCAGGAAGATGCCTCCAGAAAAGGCAAGCCTGCAGGGGCCACTGCCCGGAGCTGGAGACTGGCCCCAGGCAGACTGTGTGTGGACCGTGGTGCTGATGAGGCTCAGGTGCTCATGACTGCAGTTGGGCAGATGCTAGAAACTCGTGAAGGTCGTGACCTGAAGTTGGAACAGCACAGACAGGAAGGAGGTCAAGACTCGGTCTCCCAGGCTCCCTGCTCCTTAGAGCACAGGGGAGCAGCAGGATATGTGGCGGCCCCCAGGTTCCACAGCTGTGCTGTCATGGAGAGGTCCCCCCAGGACCAGGAGTCCTT